AACGAACAGTATTCAATCTCAAAAGTCCATTAAACAATATACAAAATAAGAGCAAAGCAAACACGGACCTCCGAAACATCAGAGGTGGGATCAGGTGCCATGGAGGAGTGAGCATCCCCTGCCGACCGGTCACACCCGCCGTGTGCTCGTTGTCATGATCAGGAAATAACGGAAAAAATCCATCGTCAATTCAGCGTATAAATAATGGACTAACAATTGGTATGAAAAACGTCAGTCAGCATTTGACTCAATGATAAATTGTATTTGCTGACAAGGTCATTGTATCGGCCATAAAACTTACGAAATTATGTCTTTAAACGAGACTGCTGTTAAGCAATGATATCTATCTATTAAGCAATGATATATTTATAAACTGTAAACGTTTTGACTTTATACCACACATAGTTTTGGAGCTATTGTAAAAATAATTTTTTAGACATGTTGACCTTTGACGAAACCTTAAGGTCTTCGTTTTAAATTATGTTAACATCATCAGAAATGTATCACGCGGGTCTGTGGTTGAAAGAAGGAGAGAAGCAAAAACACTTAAAGCAAGCATTTTTAAAGACCCTAACATACAGGAAACCTCGGTTTTGCAACTGGCGTCGAACAACATTTCTATCGAATATTATGGCAAATGTTGGGCTAAATAAGAAAAAGGGACACATGAGAAGTTTGTTAAAATGGATTCTTTGTGAAATATATTGAGATTCTTTTAAAGAAATGTAAACTTAAATGTAAAATGCAAACCATCATTCATTCCGTTTTCACTTAACTACAAGAATTAAAAAAGAAAGGTAGACTAAATGAACAATATATGCCATCGATCCTGCGGTAAGGACTTATTGTTGTAGTTTAAGGCTTATTTTTATAGTTGTATTTAAAGAACTTTTACATAATTTTTAACGTTACCCGTCTACAAGGGATGCTTAATCCTTTTATGCAGCCAGTCTACCTGTCGAATTTCCAAGGGTCAATTTTTTATGGCCTCATTACAGGTTTGATTTGCTTATATGATCATTTTTTAACGACCGACCAGTGGTCGTCATCTTCACTTTTTCACAATTTTATAGTGATTTTTTTTTTCAAATTTTGTACTTGCCTTTACATTTATGATATCTTTCATATTGACCTGTCGACTGAGGATGTATTTTCCATTTGTGGCACTTGACACTATCTTTGTTTTGAGATGTTTGCTTTGCTCCTGATTTCTGTTATGTAAATGGCTTTTTTAGCATGTTCTTTATCTTCTTGTTTAATCCAGACCTTAGGGGTAACAAGTTAACCTAATTTTTCATTTGTCAAAAGAATTACTATGCATTCTACAATGTATTACATTATATATTCGCTTTTTTTCGGGTCCAACAAGAAATCATACTGCTTTCAAAAATGCAAACAGCTGAAACAAAAGAATATAATATGGTGAATAATATATCATGTATTTTTATGCCTCATGAGTTTATATCTCAAAAATATATAGAAAAACAGTGTGTGTCACGAAAAAAGTCGTTTACCTCACAGTGTCTGTAAGAGTAAATGTTTTAGCCATTTAAGCGACTTTCAACAATGAAATTTCTTTTGAGAACGGTATAATTCAATACCCAATGAAATCTCTCGTAAAAAATTAATATATCATATAGAACATTTTTTCCCCAAGATAGAGTCACGCATTTACAAGTTCATTTTCAATAGCTCGGTTACACAGGCGTCAGGTTTTGATATTCTGGTGTTCCGGAAATACAGAGGCTCATGAAACCAAAACTGAATGCAATTTATTTACACAACTTCTATTCTATGTTAATTTGGTGAATCTTGCAAAAATTATTGGATTTTATTAAAAAGTTAAGGTATGTATGATTTAGTCATGCATCTGGATTTTTCATTTAATTAAAATTTCACCAAGCAAAACAGGATTAATTATATAGATTTATGCTAAATGAAGACAAAACAAAAAGGTTTTTTAAACCAATAATGTGTGTTTAATTATATTGTTGAAATTAAGTACGCTTAAACAGTTTATTTGTCACACACTAAAAAAATCTCTGTGTTTTTCTTTCTCCATATTCATTTACCGCTTGTCTTTAAATGGCACTGTCAATGCAATTTTATCCTCTGCACTGTATTGATTTTGTACTAAAATTGTTTATTTATGTAATAGAACTAAAACTGATTCAAAATTGATAATGATAGCCTGGAACAAATACAGTTAGGTAAATTAAATTTCCTAGTCCGTGCAATTGCCTGTTCAACTGAAGTCTCATTGCCAAGACCGTTGTTTGTGTACAAGGGTTGTCCCGTAAAATCGTGGACAAAGCTTTTTTTTCTCCAAAAGTAATAGGCGCATTAAGCTGAAAATTTCAGTGAATGTTTATTTATCATATTTGAGTGCAATATAAAATTTTCGATAAAATTTAGGCAAAAATAAAGATTTTATAATGCTTGAATGTGTACGAGGTATTGTCCTACGGCGCACGGTCAAAAACCAAGGTTTTATTAAAGAATACACAAGTTTGAATTCAAAATAAAAGTTTTAAATACATAAGACTTGGATTAAAATTATCCTAATTCAATTCCACAATCAATTTTGTAGTCTTTGTAAAAATTTAAAGGCATTTGTTTCATTTCTGGCAGTTTCTCGAGCATTCGAAATGGGAAAGTGGTAAACACAACACACGAAAAATGGCGACGTTTTATGACGTTACGGCGCACCGAAGAACAGTTCAGTTTTATTTCGATGTTGTAACCTTCGATGTTGACACCATTAGAGACTTGAAATGACCATAGAAGAAAAAGATCATAAAAATATCACCATATCTAAAGTATACAAATGAAATAGGAGATTTCTTAGCGAAGTTTTTTTGATCGAGTCCCTGGGGAGTACAAAACATACGGACAAACTCCTAATGTAATAGCAAAAGACGCTGTCACAGTAGACCGCCGATATGAGATTTTCTATTAGTTGAATGATGGTGAGAATATTGTTCGTAACTTACTAATAAATCGTCAGAAGATCGCATGAGGGTGCCAATTGGTTCTTCGACTTTTTATGGAAACTAAAGAATGTGTATCAATGAAATTCCTAAATTTAAGTCGGACTCATCCAACTTCATTTTCAGCAAAGATAAAACGTGACGCTGTTTTAGACATTTTGACGTTATAATCCATGCGCCGTAAGGTGATACAATACATGGCATAAAATCTCATAATTTGTTTATTTATGCATATATTTATCTGAAATTTGCTGTGTATATTACTAAAATATGTACTAAATAACAGTGAAAATTTCAGAACGCAGTGATGTTTATTTTTCACACTAGACAACTTGTCCACGATTTTACGGGACAACCCTCGTACATGTACGTTGCTAAGCATCCAGCAGAGTAGTATGCAATGAATAATGTAAAAAAGATCTACAATTCTAAATTATTAAAATGTGATTCAGATATTCAAGTTGAATGTTTTATGTAGAGAGTGTAGGTAGTTCCTGTAGTTGAACCTTTTTTCTGCTTTTGTCAAAGTAAAAATAAGTTGTAAATGTGATTATTTTTTCCTGGTTCTTCGAATACTATTTTACTTTTACAAAATATTTAAGTGTTTAACCATTGACGAACGTTCAATAGAAATATTATTGGTATATCATGTCCTTGAGACACTGGTAATCTTTAAATTCAAATATTAACTCTTTGTTAACATTCTGATTGTACTAACAAGTACTATGAAATTGACATCAAAAGATAATGGAGTTTCTTATTGACAATATATCTACATGTATCTACATGTTTGGACACTCCTTTTTTCCTTCGTCAAAGACTGTTCAGTTCAGTTTTTTTTACTAACCACTAGTAACCCCCTCTTCAAAAAGAGCGTTTTTCCTGTCATAGTCACGAAAAAAATACTACATTCCACTGTTTGTTCTGTGTATTATTAAAGGAAAAAGAAGTCATCTCAAACTTTCTTGAAAGTCATACTTGTACCAATTTATGTTTCGATGAGAATATCTAAAAAAAACTGAAGCCTTAAAAAGTCAAGAGTCTTTATATTTATTCAATTGAATTCGGAAATATTCGCATAGAAAAATGAACATGAAATACCATCGTCACTTCGTGTGATTTATTTTTTGCCATTTAATTCATCCCCCTTCCTCTGCAAATAAATATTAATAACACCAGGGTCATATGTGGCATTGCTTACCTAAATCAATATATCTCTGCTGCTCTTCATCTGCAGACCCTACAACATATAAATAATTCTTTCTACACCTTAAACCACGCATCTAAGTCCTACTTTATGTCGCCCGCGTGGCGCAGTGGTTAGAGCGACTGCTCTAGAATCGCGAAGTAAGGAGTCAATCCTTACGTCGCGGGTTCGAATCACACTGAGGAACATGGAGAACGGTCCTTTGGATGAGACCCTATAAACCGAGGGCCCGTGTCGCAGTAGGTGCTGGCACGAAAATGTTCCCTTTCTGCTCAATGGCCCTGAGTGCCGATTATAGGACAGTATTTGCAGCTCTCAACCGGCAAGTGGTGGCGTGTCCATACATGAGTGAAACAGACGTTAAACAATGTATATAATCAATCATTTAATCAATCCCGAGGGTCTTATTCGATATTAAGATTAATATACACTGCTAGATGATTCATAGGAATACATATAAGTATCAATTACTTTACCTTCTTTGTTTTTTCATGTTTTCAGAGAAAATTCACGCCTCTTTGTATTTTTGGAAATACATGTATACGATTCTTTAGAGATGTTTTATATATAAGTGTGCAAAGCCTAACGTTTTTTTAAATAGCAAGACGGTTATTCTAGATGGACATGAAGGGAAAATGATTAATGTAGTCAAACTATATAATAAGGCGTAATGTGCTCAATTTACGATAAATTTAAACTCACATATATATTTTTAAAAATATATATTTATTTTGTAGAAATACTTCCACTATGGGGAAAGAAAAGAATTGCAAATCAAGGAAGGATGTACATGTAGATCATCGTTTAAGCGTGATACTGAAAATTGTAAATGTTATCTTGGTTAGTGTATTATACTCTTATTTTATTGATTTAATATGACTCTTTATGTTTAATACGAATCCATGTTTCACGAAGGGGAAAATTAAACTTCCAATATTCTACTTGATCAATTTCAACAACTTAAGTTTGTATATAATTTCAATATCATATGATTCGATTTGCAAGAGCATGCATCACGTGTGAAAAATGTCTTGAACTAGATAAGTTATTGAAAAACAAGTTGATGAAACAAGAATAGCAACAGTCTCGTTTAATGCCATCGTTTCTCAAGTTCTTTGGTCGATTAATGGAAAACAACAATCATTGTGTCAAATGCTGACGTTTCACATTCTAACTATAGGCCATTATTTAAAGACTGATTTCTTGACGGATTTTTCCGTTTTTTATCGATTATGACAAGGAGCACACGCCGGGTGTGACAGGTAAGGGGACGCTCAGTCCCCCATGGCACCTGATCCCATCTTCGATGTTTTGGATGCTATAAAACTTTGACGAGCTCACTTTCAATCTAAGTTTCACTTTTTCACTATTAATTGTATTGCTAAGATTGAGACTGAGATCAAAAGTGAGCTCGTCTAAGTTTTATGGAGGTCCGTCTTTGTTCTGATCCAGATTTGTATTGATGAACTTTTTAACTTTAATACTCTCTGAATTTTTTATTTTGTACACAACAGCGTCTTTCAAAAAACATATTCGAAAATTTTATATCCTTGAAGAGAACTTCGAAGTTTTAAAAAATAAATATGATGAAAAAAATGGGTTGATATATTGTGTACAGCTTCTACATTCAATCAATAAATGAATTTTGGGGCATGAGACATTTGTATTCCTAGAAATGATCTATGCAATAATAACCAGAAATGAATTGACATGTCAATTGTTTATGATGCAGTAAATCTTTTACTGAGGAGACCGGTAGTTGACACATTTTGAACTCGGACATAATTTTGATTTATAGATTGATTAAAATATGTTTAACCATTCACTGCAATTAAGTATAGATATTAAGGAAGCATGATGTATATTAATCTTTATGCTATGGGGTGGTTATTTGTGTCCCAAATCTTGCTATTATTAAATATGTATTTTTTCTCTATCAGTAAAACTTATAAAGATGACACACAATTCAAGATCAAAAGTCCATTAAACAACACAAAACAGGAGCAGAGCAATGACGGACTTCAAAAAAAAAACGTGGGATCAGGTGCCATGGAGAAGTGAGGAAGGATATGGAGATAACGAACAGTATTCAATCTCAAAGTCTATTAAACAATATACAAAATAAGAGCAGAGCGAACACGGACCTCCGAAACATCAGAGGTGGGATCAGGTGCCATGGAGGAGTGAGCATCCCCTGCCGACCGGTCACATCCACCGTGTGCTCCTTGTCATGATCAGGGGAATAACTGAAAAATCCCCCGTTTTCAATTCAGTATATAAATAATGGACTAACAATTAAATTGATAAAAGTCTGTCAGAATTTGACTCAATGATAAATCGTATTTGTTGACAATGTTATTGTATCGACCATAGAACTAACAAAATGATCACTTTAAAAGAGACTGCTAATATTCTTGTTCCATCAACTTGTTTGTCAATAATTTGCCTCGTTATAGAAATTGTTCTTACGTAGAGCATGCTCTTGCGTGTCGAATCAACTGAGATATATAATCTCCGCATGCAGCTGATGAAGGAATATTGCTCCACACGTAAGAGAAGTTGACGATAGAAAAGTTAAAGTCAACTTCGAACTTGGTTGTTAGATTACCATTAACGTCTTTTTCAAGTAAAATATCCAAATATGAAATAGATGTGTTCGACTCCGTAGTATATTTTATCAAAATAAATGTTCAAAGAGTGAAAGGCTTGTGTTGAAATCTGTTTTAAATAACGTTAACCATTTGATAAAATTGCCATGTACCATTGACTATATCAATGGTTTAATGCATGGGTGTTTGAATGTACAAGCATTTTTATTTAATTCTTTGTTGCTCTTATTTACCAAAAGTCATGCAGATTTACTGTTAACCCTTGAAGTGAATTTGAATATTTTTATTCAGTTTGTTTTCGGATTTGGATGGTTCCTTACTGGTGCAGTTATACTTGGAGGGGTCCTACTGAACAGTCATGTCAACAAAATTTTGAACATCATTTCAATTCTTTCAACTGGACTTGGTGACGAAATAAAAATCTTATCCTCAATGTTAATTGTGATAGGGTTTTTCGTAATGTTTGAATCTATTATAGGATTTTTTCTTGAAACGTTGAACGACAAAAAACAAAAGAAACCACGGTGGAATATTGTGATATATGGGGTAAATTTCTTAATTTCGTATTTTTTCCCTCTTTAACTACAAAACTTGTTTTCCAGAAATAAGTTTTTTCCTTGTTTGTACCATTCAATAATAGACACTTTGCTCTCATTATATTCTTGAAGCACATTTGAATTTTATCAATATATACCGGTACTTAAAACCATATAACTTATATGATTGCGCCCATGACAAAAGGGTCCTTATGGCATTTTTGCTAAAACAGAGAAATAACGTCATAAAGATGTGACGTTGCAGATTGACGGTGAACTTCGTCGCAGATTTTTTTTTAACCACGTGTTTTGACGTTTGACGCATCCAGAGTTTTTATCGCTGTTTCCAACATGTGGAATTTATTTTCATTTATAAATTAACTTAATAAATATCTGAATCTCCTAATCCACTGATTTTAATAGATATAAATAAAAACATTTAGCACTGGTTTCTTAACAAACATTATTAAATACGTCTCTATAATACCAATAGTTTTCCTACATGCGTAAATGTATAGAAGCTGTAGACAAGGTGTTTTCTGATAGGATAATGAACCTTTATACTCTAGATAAATTTTATTTACATATTGATACCATTTCTAGAATACATCTTAGACAGGGTATATCGTAAAAAATATTGCAAAGGAAAATTGTCTTCCTACTTCTTTGAGATCCGCTCCACCACTCTCAAATATACATTGCGATCGCGTCGATCACATGTAAACATTGATTCATCGGTGCATACTGCTTAAACTGTTGTTAAATTGTTTGTACAAATGTTGAAACTAAACATACATCTTCCAAGTTTTTTACAAATCTAGCAAGAATGTGTAAGAACGATAGTCATGATAGTCAAGATTATTTGTATTTTCTATAAATAATAAAAATAGGAGAGATAACTCTGATGTCAACAATCGATGTAATAGGGGTACCAGACAGGGACATTCATTTTAATTGCGTACTTTTTCACATTTCAGCTGCATGTTCGCATGAATTTGCTCCCGGATTCTAAAAGAGATATTTTATGACCAAATAAAAACATTTTTAATCGTCAGCATAATTATGAATTTTTAAATAAAAAAAATATTGTTGTACTTTGGGAAAAAGGTCCTGTAAATGTAGAAAAGGAAAACAAAGAAAAAAGGAAAACTGCAAAATTGAACAGACTTTATTTTTTTTTTTCAAATCTCTTATCTATAGCTTTTTTTTTATTTGCATGAAATAATTTCTTGACGAATTTCATTTTTAAAAAGATAATAAACATGTAAAGCGTCTACCTTATAATCATGATTAAATAAATTAAACTTTAACAAGAATAGATATGGGTTACCCCATATCCAAAGATATTCGACTTTTAGATTTAATATGTTTAACAGTGTTTATAATGACGTTAATAAAAAAAACTGCACTGTCTAATTACGGAACTGTTGTAAATTTCGTGAGTCCATAGCATTACGGTCACCCAGTCTCCTAACAAACAGTACACATATAGGCCTACATGTACCTGTGTCCGCAAGACCAACATTAGCCTTGGTCTACACACGTGCGATGGAGCTGTCAAACGCATCCAGCGAGCTCGGAGAAACACGTTTTGTTTTGCCGAGAAGTTACGATGGCAGACAAAACTTTTCTTTTCTTAATTAGACCATATGAATACGAATTCTGATTAATAAAAATTATACAATCCCTGTTGAACTATATATAGTTTGTTCTAACATTTGCATCTGCAACAACTTGTGTTTAAAATGGCCGGGTTAGGAAAATCAGGACCGGGTCGGAAAATTCTAAACTGAAAACCTTTTTTGTTTTGAAAATTACTGAAATATACTAATGTATTCGTCGCAGAAATTACTTACATTATTCAAGTTCCATATAAAATGGCATGCTGAACTTCAACACGAACCCGAATCTCCAACCCAGTTCTCGTTTTGCCACACATACCCTACAGTTTACAAAGTGTACACACGAGCAGAATCCGCCCAGGGATTGAAAATTCCGTTATTTAATAATACACACACACAGAATGATTAATTTTTTCTTTAAGAAGAAATTTTATGATAATTAACGGACTATAAACATGTACATAATACAAATGTTGATATAGTATTATCAATTCATCGGTGAAAAGATATGAATCGAAGAATGACCTAATTATTCTCTGTTATCAAACATGTAAAAAAAAAAGGCTGAGGAGGGAGCGAGCGTAGGAATATTGATATTTTTTATTTGCATTTCGGGGGTAAAGCGACTTTCTAATAATATTTTGACGTTATTTTTGATTTCTTTAACGTATGACATACACAACTTTACTCTTATCATGAACAATAATGTTGTATCTACTTATCATGATGGAACTATTTTGGTCGGACCAATTTGTGTGAGCCGCCGCTGAATACAGTAATATATCTTGCATAAATAGTATGCACTGATCGAATATATTAAAAATGTTGATTTGTCTTTTATTCTTGTTGCACAAAGACACTTCAATTTAGAGAAATTAAAACAAGCAAAAAAACATCCGAATGAAAAAAAATGTTCTTAATGTTCTAACTTAAATAGAGCTGGTCAAGTAAATCTGATGAGAGAGAGAGGATGGAGGGTAGATAAAATTATTTATATTGAATCTATTTATCTAATATTGGGAAATGTGAACTCTATTGAAAAAGATGAGTTTTCAAAACAAATGAAATAATAAATGAAAGAAAATATCATTTTTGTTCTCTAAACTACCCATACATGAATAGCTATTTATTTTCAAGATCTCCAAATTTAATAAACATGTAACTCTTTGGTACTTACGTGTTGTTGTTTTTTTTTTTTCATACGGAGTTCAAATGTTTTAAGCATTATCTGCAAATTAATTCCTTAAGCCATGACGAACTTTGTCTTTCATAAAAGCTCGATCAGCATTGGATGTCTCTTAACAGATCAATTATCATGCTAAAAACTCAATCATCACTGAACTTATAATCTCATTGCAGTTATCAGAGTGGAATAATATATTGTTTAACCTGCCATCAAATTATGGATAAATATTATTAAACATGCTCAAATATGATTTTATTTGTTTTGGTTGATAAAAAAAATCCTTATAAGTTCATGGTCGGGTTTTATTCTACGTGTAAATGCTAACAGAAAAAGAAAATTCAATGCTGAAAATACATGACATAAAACCGCAAAAATTTGCTTGCATTTTGTGTTATTTTGGCTGCAGTGCAGGGGATGGGGGTGGGGGTGTCCTTATATATTTCCGTAACATGTACAATTGTAGGCTTTACAAGGCTTAGCATACATGTATCCAAGCTTCTGGCACCAGGCACGTAGCATCGCTCTTGAAAGTTTGGGGGGAGGGGGGGGGGCAGCCAGAGAATTTTTTTTACTTCGCTGAAAAAGTTGTCAAGCAAAAAAAAAGTTAATGTTGCACAAATTCGAAAATCCTATTTCGTGGGGGGGGGGGGGGGGGGGTCAACTACTTTCAGTACCAATTTTTATACTACGTTTTCCGTACATCACTAATAGTGGGGGGGGGGTGGCAACCAGACTTTCAATTATCAATTCCTATAGTATAAGTAAGGTTGGGGAAAAAAGTGAAGGCCCAGGCCCCCCTGCCCCCCCCCAGCCCCCCCCCCCCCCCCGTTGCTACGTCCCTGGGCACGGGAACAGAATGGAATTCATACTCTTTAAAACTCACTTTATAGAATAAAATTAGAAAACAATATTAGAATGAAGGGGATTTTTTTTTAATTACGTCATAAATAATATGATGATTTTCTAAGATGTTTACATCCCTAAAAAAATCTGACATTTCAAAGCTCCGCCAGTTCACAGACAATTGTCAGGAAACATATTATACAAAACAGTCATATTCAACTGACTGTATATTAAGGCATAAACAATTACATGTTATTAATCTTGAACCCATCCATACCCCAACAAAAGCTATACATATAAACCGTAAATGGCATCTTTAATTTAATTCTATGGGTGTGCTTCTAAAACAATCCATTTCATAAAATAAAACCAGAGATTTTAATTCTATGGTATCATTATATACATGATTAATAATACTGAATTCATAGCAATTCAGTTCCAGGCTCATAGTGTTTATGATCGCTGTGCGATTTTGAAAATAGCAATGCTCAGAATTAAAGGTACAAATATAAAATGAAGAATAATAATAGACAGCATATTATTTCAAACCTAAATAAAAAGTGAATCTGCAAGTTGTGGGGTTAATGGTACTGGGTGCATCTAAATTTTTTTTAATTTATTTTAACTCGTGTTCACAAGAATTGCAAGTTTCTGCCATTTAGATTTTACCCCCCCCCCTTCACCAACATACACATAATCCTACAGATGTTAATCCTGGCCTGGGTCTATCTCTTGTGTAAATGTGTGCGGATTATAACTCATTCATTTGTTTGTAAAATTTCCACCTTTTGATTGGTTAATATTAAAATATTTTTACTGCTAGACTAAAAAATATTTCGTGTATCCTTTATATTTTAAAAAAAAGCAGTGTCATTATTGACCCAATGCAGACAGACAAACTTATAGATGCAGTGAATCAACCGAATTTCCTTTTTATTTACTGTCTATTGTGTATCGTAATTACATGTTACATGTACCACATTTCACAATTTTTCTGTCTTTATATAAAATTTAGAAAGAACGAACAATCAAATAAATTTTCACTTCGCAGTACCATTTAGGTAGCGTAATGATGTTCCAGATATAATTTTTAAAAAATTAATTTTCACATATATGGTAACTAAAGATATAATATCGTTTATGCTGAAATCTTGACCTATCGAGAGCAATGTTTAAATCAAAATAATTTTCAAATGAATTCTATATCGAGAGCAATGTTTAAATCAAAATAATTTTCAAATGAATTCTACAGGCTCATCAATTGACTCTTGCATGGATTACCAGTTAACATTTTGTTTGAGAAAATAATTGTTTCAACAAAAAAAAAAAAAAAAAAAAAAAAAATGGATGTTGCCCGCTGTTCAGGTCTCCCCCTGGTGTCATAGAAAAGTGAAATGTAAAACAAACACTCACTCATAATACTATACACGACTGATGAATCCATAATATATATAACTATGAAATAATTATTAATAATTAAAAGAGACAATAAGATAAAAATAATGTGCATGGAAAAATATTAAATATTATACAACTATTAATCACCAAAGTAAATTTACAGAAGAAAATCATTCAACGTTCACTCTGAAAACGTTTGACGTTGTTGAAAAACATGACGTCATTATTAACCTGTTAAAGTATATTTGATAAAAATGAAGAAAAAACATACTTAGAGTAGACGTAGGACCATGAAAATTCATATTTGACAACTTCTAACCTTACTCTATCAGAATCCGTGAAAAACTAAAAATGCATAAAAATTGCCATAAGGACCCTTTTCATATGGGCGCAATCATATGATATAATATATTATATATGAAGATTATGAAATAGAAGTGTTTCTACCTCAAAATAAAGTTTCCTTACAAATTGTATGAAGTACCTATAATGGAATTATAAAAGAATTGTTCCCAGTAGGAACTTTTCTCTCATTTAAAAGTCAATGTACAAACCTTTGGTCCGTAAACGTTTAATCAGAATAGTTCTTGTTAATCTATACATGCTATATGCATAAAAAATTAAATACCGTAAACTTAAAACACAAACAAAAATCTTGGCCTGATGACAGCATGCTCTTACGTTTGAAAAAAATAAGCACATATTCAGAATTTTTTTCTTATGTTTTCTGTTATGTATGAAAATGAAAACAGTTTTTTCAACACTTCGAACATGATAGAAAAAATATAATCCTATGGCAGAATATTAGAAGCATCAAGAGAGAGAGAGAGAGAGAGAGAGAGAGAGAGAGAGAGAGAGAGAGAGAGGGAGATATCTTTTCATTTTGGGTAGTTGCAGTTTGAAAAGAGTGCACATTATTGAAACATATTATTACTTTACTCTAAATCTTTTTTCATAACTACAATCTATCACATCATGCAAAATAAATAAAAATCATTTCTATCTGCAAAAGAGTAAACATACAAAGTAACAATGGTAGAATGTGAAATACCATAGGTGTGAAAATATATTTACAAATATGGAAATCAATAAATAACTGATCAAAATGTTTTATTGAGTTGGATAGCAATTGCAGAAACAAAAAGATAATAAAGTTTGTTTAATTTGTAGTAAATTAATATTACTAATATTACATATTCTGTATTTGTTTTTGATAAATTCTTCAACTTTGTTTTGTCTTACAGTATTTTATTTTTGGTCTCATGTTATTTTTGTCAACACTGATAATCTTTGGGTTGTGGATTCACACGAGAGAAAAGGTATGTAGTTATAAAAGATTGTCTGCTATCATTTCGACACATTACTTTTTCATATATATAATATATATCAAATCTGTTAAAAGTATTTATTAGGGTGTATTGACTAAGGGGTTGAATCGAAAATGAAATTGGTCAGAAATTCATATCATTTGAATTAAAAAATATGAAGATAACGATCAGTATTCAAGCTCAGAAGTCCTTAAACAATACAAAACAGGAGCAGAACAAAGACAAGATGGATCTCATGAATATTAGAGGTGGGATCAAGTACCATGGAGGAGTGAGCATCCCATGCTGACCCGTCACATCAGTCGTGTGCTCCTAGTCGTGATCGAGATATAACGGAAGAATTTGTTGTCAATTCAGTGTACATTTATAAATAATGGACTGATAATTATTTTGAAAACGTCTGTCATTATTTGTCTCAATGATAAATTAAGAAATGTGTGAAATCTCGGCAATATCATAAAAATTCTTTTAAAAAAAAATTTAAGTGGCTATACATTTTGAGAAAATTTCTAGTAATGAGAACCCTTACTTTACGCGCAACCTTAGTTTAAGCCTTTTCCATCTTGAAAAGCCGTGTTTTCTCCAGGAAGTCAATTTTATGTGCGATCGTGATATATCATCGTGTTTTGAACTAGTAACTCTTCTTTTACTGGTAAAAATTAAATTGTCAATTCTCATCGCTAAAGCTAGCGGTCGTGAAAGGGTTTCAAACTGAAAAATCAAGAATTAGAATTTAGATTAATATTTTGTTTTACTGTAGAAATGAAGTACATGTAGCCTAATAATTAGATAATTAATTTTGGTACCTTCTATAAATTCGTAGCTTCTCCTACAAAATGTATGCAGATAAAGAAAATATTACTACTCAAGCTGAAAAGTCCCTTTTTAAATAAACAAATCGGGAGCAAAACAAACATTTACCAATCAAAAATAAGAGATGTGGATAATATGCAATGTGACTTTATTACAATCTTGAATTTACACTTATCACTGAGTAACGTATGCTAAACTATAAATTTGATGTTGCATTATAGCAACTTTCGAATTAAAATCAAAATTGATTTCAATGTTTTTTTATTCACCTCTGGGTAAAATCAAAGTATGAAGGTAAGCTTAAGGATAAATAACAAAATTATTTTCACGCTATATATAACACCCCCCTCATTGTTTTCAACAGTGGAGTTTAAATTGAAAATCCGATATTTTTCAAATATGTATGGTCAAATGTTGATGTAACTATGGAATTTAAGCCTGTAAACACTGAAGATGAAGAAAAATTTAGAAATTTTTTTAACATCGATTATTATACATTTAATATCTTATGATTATGCTTGTAATCCATTTGCACCTACTAAGTTTGGATTTTAAGCAACAATTTGGTACTTAGCTAAAAAGTTATTTTGGAATTCCCATACCCAGGCATGGACACAGCGATTTTTAAATATATGATATTAGGGGTTCCAATATATGATTTGCATTTCCTTATTAATATCTGATTAAAACTTTTTTAAAGACTTTCCGGAAATCATTATTAAATAATTCATTGATTGTACAGATATTTCGGCTTTCTCTTAGCTGAATATGGACTTGAGCAAGGTGCTAATTTAAGTGAAGAAGGTTTCAATTAGTGCTAATTTAAGTGAAGAAGGTTTCAATTAGTGAGCTTTGTGCACTTAGAACCTGTAGCAATTAAAAATAATGCAAATTGACAGCAGTTTAAACACAATTAATTCAAATCTTTTTATGGTACAATCTAAATGAAACATTTCAATGAGAAAAAGTATGGCAACTTACAAACCGGTACCATCTTATGCCAACAAGATATAAAATCGTTAATTGATATAACAGATTTTTAATCGTTTTGTTTTAAGTCTCATATTACTTTATTTGTATTTTGGAATATTGACCTTTCTTTAACCTCATAATACAGAAATTGATTAAAATTGCAGTTATATTCTAATAAATTAATAATTGTTGTTTCTTTTAATGTTGACTTTAACAAAGAAATAATGAATTTTATTTGCTGTTATCATTTAAATGTTTTCCATTCTTATCATAAATAAAGTTTGTAAAATATGTTTCACGGTCTATTATAATAAAGCATAAACTTTTTCAATATACATTAAGAATATGGAGAATATCAGAAAAATCCGTCGTGAATGATGACATGAATACGGTGTATTCTTGTATAAGAAGTTAATTAATATATGAAGAAGGATATGGAGATAACGAAGAGTATTCAATATCAAAGTCAATAAAACAATACAAAATAGGAGCAGAGCAAACACAGACCTCCAAAACATCAGAGGTTGGATCAGGTATCATGGAGCAGTGAGCATCCACTGCTGACAGGTCACATCTGCTGTGTGCTCCTTGTCATGATCGGGAAATAATGGAAAATTCCGTCGTCAATTCAGTGTATGAACAAAGGCCTAACAATTAGTATGAAAAACGTCGTAACATTTGATTGACCAACTAAAATTTATGTTTCCCCCTAATTTTACAGTAATGATATATATGTTATTAGTTTAATGATGTAGACATGTAAGCATTAGATTCTGAGCTTTGCAGAACGACTTTATTATTTGTATATTTGTAATTTAGTTATAAAATTCACATATCTAGCATTGGTATATTTTCAAACAATACATTATCTTTTTAACTAAAGATAAAAGAAACCTCTTCCAAAAATCAGCTGGAAGACAATTTACATGAAGAGTACAAAGATGATGCCCTCAGTACCACGGAAACAGTTTCGAATTCCTGGAATATGGTATTTATGGAGGTATGCATAATGGTAAAAATATTTAATTGAATACACCTAATAAAAAAATTTGCAATTACTAAAACTGTTAAAGATTAATAACATCTGACGCAGTATTATGTTGAAGCGTTGAATTTTCAATCTTATTTTTGAATGTCAGCGTTCGTCCCAACAAATTGAATAACTTGTGGGCAAGTACGGGTGCAATACTAACGCCGACATTCAGAGCATCTGCTCTAGAGTTGCGAAGTAAGGAGTAAATTTTTACCTCGCGGGTTCAAATCCTACTGTGGATCGTGCATGGAGACCGGTCTTCGGATGAAACCGTAAAAACCGAGGTACCGTGTCGCAGTAGATACTAGCACGAAAAAGATCCTTTACTACTCATTGGCCCTGAGTGCCGAGTATAGGAAAAGTGTGTAGCTCTCCACTGGCAAGTGATGGCGTCTCCATATGAGTGAAAAATTCTCTAGAGAGACGTTAAATAACAAACTATCAATCAAAGGCAGACAATTAAAGGATATCTTATAGTTTCATTCATTACATAATAGATTATAACATACATATAACAAGTATAAGCATATATAATTAAAGATACATCAAAATTTTATTTGTAATCCATTTCATTGAGAAGAGAATACCCTTCACATTCAATTGACAGAACACAGAAAATTATAACTAATTAAGTACATCAACGTGTAAGGTAATTCATAATGAAACACATTTTATCACTGTCGTAAAGTAAACTTATGTTGTTTTTTTTTTATATATAAATATATCATTTACATTAGACATTCAACAGAAAACTTTTTTCTGAATTTTGTTAGATGGACTTTCCACTACAATGCTAAATGCAGTGAATTGAAATGTTAAAAGTTCAATGCCCAATTTCTTTGGTATCTGCTTTATATTTAGCGGCATGCATGTGAATTTTTTTTTACATAAGTATTACACATTTGATTAGTTGGATTGTTGTGCAGTCAGTCCTGTGGTCAGCACAACTAATGATTTTGACAAGACTCCTTGGTGCACAACTAGTGGAGAATGTCAGCAGACAAATTCACAAATTCCAAAGACCTGCTGTAATGGAGTCACTGTCAGCACGTACTCTTCAGCTCCTTCAGCATGTCATGCAAATGTCGATAGTGAAACATATAACAGCCAGGTAATTAAAAAGCATTTACGCAACAAAAACCAACAACTCAAAGATAATGTGGGATTATCCATTTGAATTAAACATAAATACATCCCTACATACAATTCACACACAGGCAGAAAGATAGATACAAGTGTAAAGATAATAGTAGATGGATGGCTGGAAAGTGAAAGAGATGTATATTCTTATTTCTAAAGTACTGTTTCTTTTCAGGGATGCTACGATGTTCTGGTAAATAAAATAACTTCTTATTCTTCGGGCGTTATTGCTGTTGGTGTTCTACTTATTATTACTGAGGTAAAGTTAAAGTTATTATGTATTAAAAAATACAGAATTTTTTTACTCTAGAAAAACAATACTTTCTGTTTTAATCACTAAATGTTTTAATGATATTTTTTTGACAAAATAGGTAAAACAGAGGAAACACATTCGTGCTCGCAAGCTCTTAAAATTTCCCCTGTGCTCAAATACTCAGATAGATAGATGTACATGGATTTTCAATTAACATTATGATAAGGAACAGTAATAAACATCAAAACTGGATAATAACAATTGACAGCAGGACAAATACAGATCTCTAAAACATAAGATTATCAGCTGCCATGGAGGAGATCGCATTCACTGTCAAAGAGAAACAAAGTCTACGTGTTCCTTGTCATTAACGATCAAATAAAAAAAAATCTGTAGATAATTCAGTAGAAAATAACATTCTTATACGTTCTAAAAACGAAACTGTTGTCTAACGTTAATAGTTGGATTTACATGTTTGTTTAATAGGTTAATGTGTGGACACTGAATAATTTATCTCGTTTTAGAAATTGTTTATACGTAGAACATGCTCTTGCGTATCGAATCAACTGAGATACATAAACTTAGTGTGCAGGCGATGAAGGTATATTGCTCCATATAAGGGAAGGGAAGTTCACGATAGAAAAGGTAAAGTCATCACGTTTATCATAGAGCTTGGTTGTTAGATAACCAAAATATCGAAGTATGAAACAGATGTGTCAGACTCTGTAGTATCTTTTATCTAAAGCTCACAAGGATATATCGTATCGACATATAAAGGAATGGAAATCACCATTGATAAATGACAATACGTCGTTGATTCATCAATATGCCGAGTTGAAGACCACGACATGTGTTTTCTTCTTTTCACGCAAAAGATTTTGCACAAATTCTGCTTCATATGAATACAAATATAGTTCTGCAAAAACAGAGCGCAATTGGAACCCATGAGAATTCCAATAGATTGTAGGCCATGGAAGACTTGGTCTCCTAAAACCATAGATATTGTCTATCAGAACCTCAAGCATCTTGTGATGTCAACTTCAGAGTACTTTTGTGGGCTATCAGAATGTGCTTTAACAAATTAATTTTGCACATTACTAATGACCGGGTAAGTAAATTCTAAAGTTCCATTTTTTACTGAAAAAGCAGAGTTCTGTCAATGATATTGATAAGCCTGGACTTTAATTTATCGTGAATAATGGTTGTGTATAAAGTTGAAAAGTCGTAAATTTTAAAGCTGTTGATTTTGGTAAAATCATGCTTTTAAATTGTTCAAAATTCCCTTGGATTTTTTAAGTATCCACATGTGATTCACACCATTATTGTTGCATAGATCTCTTGAAGTTTTTTCTTCACTACTTTCAATATCTTAGTAGGAAGTATTTTAGAAAGAGGTTTGGTTGAACATTGACTGGAACCCAAAATTAATCTTTATTTGTAAGGATTCTTATGCAGTTTCGAAATCCAAAATATATTATATTTATGGTAGTTCAAATTCATTTTGGTTCTTCGGGATATTGAAAATATTCAATTACATAATAATAATTAATGAATAATACAGATAGTTTTCTACCGAATGTAACCTTCAAAAAGTTTTCTGTCTCAAATTTCTTTTTTTCCAGAATAAAACTTCATTGATATTCTGATCTAGTAGGTCAATGCTAGTTCTACATGTATCCTTTGCTTGCCGATGCTGATCCTGGCTATCCTGTTTTTAAATGCTAATCCTGATGCTAGTAGGAGACCGATGCTTATTTTGCTTTTTCTTATAAAATTTATTTATCTAGTTCCCCGCACTATACACACAACTACTATACTCTGAAATGGATAATTTGCGATGACTAATTTTGCAATGGCCAACTTCCCTTACTTATGCAGCAATGTTCAGTTAACCTATGAATATTGTGTTAATGTCTCTCATTTAATTCGATCTGCAAGAAGATACTTTAATATGAACAATGTCCAAAGCGAGGCAAGCTATTGAAAAACAAGTTGAAGAAACAAGAATAACAATTGACTCCTTTGAAGTCGTATGAATATAATAATAATATATATAATATATATGATGGCCGATAAAAATGCAACCTATTTTTTGATAAATGCTGACTAATCCGTTTTTAATACTCATTGTTAGGCCTTTATCTACACACTGAATTGTCTACAGATTTTTCCTTTTTTTCCTGATCATGCTTTGGAGCACATGGCAGATGTGGCCAGTCGACAGATGCTCACTCCTTCATGGCAACTGATCCCACGTTTATTTAGGAGGTCCTTGTTTAATCTACCCCTATTTACATTGTTTGAATAGACTTTGAGGCTGAATTTTATTCGTTTTCTTAAAATTTCATTGTATACATATAAAAACTACCTAATATAAATGAATGAAAAAGAATAAAATGAGCTGATTTTATATTTCAGTTAGTGGAAGCATTCCTTGCGTTATACATTTCAAAATCTTATACCGGGAATAAAACATCTCCCACTGAGCACTTCGAAAAAACAAATGGACGGTGATAGGAGAAATAAACACATTTCTGCAGTGCATTGTGAATTATTTTTGTTTTACAGAAATAGAAAATAACAACTTTGCGTACTTGAGAGTTTTCTAAGAAAGGAGTGCGATGTTAACTTTTTTATTTTTAAAAATCAAATCTTGATCTTTTTTGTAAAAAAAAAAAAAAGATTTGTCTGTGATACGTATTTATGTATTTTCCTATACACAAAATTGTTATTGATAAAAATGTACTTTTGATGTATATTTCTATTTTGCAGTCTTTCAATAAATTTTATACAATACATTTTCTCTCTGTTTATTGAACTATAAAATACTGTAGTTATTTTAAAGTAAATGAGATATTCTCTCCTTCATTAATAAATCAAATCATTAACTCATGTTTCCGATTGACAATACATAAGTAGTTTTTGGAGATGGGGTCCTCAAAAAATTTGTTGAAATACCATTGGGTACGAGTTTTGACCAGGTAGAAGCAGATCTATTTTTGTATTCACATGAAGTAGAATCTTTTTAAAATTTTCAAGGCCAGGGCCAAAATATTTGAAATTTAATAATAAATTGTATTTCATTATAATGGTTGAATAATTATACCAACGAGCTGATTTCAAAGTATTAATTTACTTTAAGACTATATACCTCCCCCCACCCCCACCCCCAGTACCCATGACCCTGAAATTAATCATGAACTTCGTAAGTTTATGAAATGCCGATGTGCAGAGAAGATTTTCAAAGAAATAATGCATATTTACTATATATTTCTACATGTAGCACCTAAAACACTGAGCCTGGGTCCATGAATTTGACAATTTTGATAGAGGACTCAATGCTGATTTAAATTATGCCAACAGTTTGACTGCTTGACGTCCAGGAGTGAAGAAGATTTTTAAAGATTGCATTAATTTTAGCGGATTTGGCTCCAACTCTCAAACCCTATGGGGGACAGGGACCACGAAACTCACAATTTTTTTTTTATTTCCACTTTTCAACTTTCAAATAGCAGTATATTTATATACTAGTCAAATATTCTAAGTCCCCAGGCAAGGTTTTGCTTTAAACCGCTCTTATTTTAACAAATATGAAAAATGAATTATTTTAAGAATATAATTTAATATGTATACAGGATAAAAAAGTAGCAATACAATATTTTCTCACTTAATTTATTTTATTGAAGTACTTTAACACAATATGCAGAAATGTTAAGGCACCCTAGAATTGAAAATTCACAACATTAACTACTGCATTATCCTCCATTCAAACGAATTCACAGCATGACAACTGTTCCTCAAAGAGTTCACACGATTTAAGAAAAGTTCTTTTATTGAATGTTTTTCCATGTGGAGACTAGGTTGCCCTCTAGTTCCGCTAGATTCTGCTGCTGAAAAAGCTGTCTCACACTCCAGTCTATCTTCTTCCATACATGTTAGTTAGGATTGAGATTAGGATGACAAGGGGGCTTACCGAAAGTACCTGTGCCTTGCTAACAAAAGTTACATTATGTCTTATTACATTTGTACCCCACTCCTCCAGTTTGACATTGAGGGGAGGGCACTTCCGGTTCCGGTTCCATTGATTTTTTGGATAAGCTCTAGGGTGATTTCGTTGTGTTTGTTGAAAATTTAGCGATTTCTAATGATTAGAAGGAATTCAGGTATGCTTTATAGGTTTTTCGGGCGATAATTATAAAGGTTTAAAGTAAAATAAAGTCATACAGCGAAAGGAAGCAGAACACTCGTTAACTACGACCAGCTTGGGCCATTTCAACTTCACTTTCACATTGTTGTGTGGACATACACTGCATTTTAATCAAACTTTTTTCTCTTTTTCGTTGTCAATTAAAGATTGAGAACACATGGAAGTAAAAAATATAAACAATACACCCGAAAAACATATGGAACTTGAACTTCATGCTTTTTAACAAAAACGGTCACGGTCGAGTAATTACACATTCGATTACAATTGTTTTGGCCTTGACAGATACATGTAAGTATTGCAAATTAAAGGCAAAATTTTAAGCAACTAGTAAATTGATGTTTACTTAAGGTTTTGAACTTTTTGAAAAAATAAAAGTGGGGACTTTTTTTGCAAGTATATAATCATTGTGGATTTTTATAAACATTCACTCACTGATTCTTCCACTTCACTCATCCATTTCAGTATCACCTATTTATGAATTGTACAAAAAGATAATTCAATATACATTTGTACATATATATGCATGTTTATATATTACAGTGTGTTTACTATCACTATAAGTAAATTCATAAAAAAGAAGAAAAAAAACAGACAAAAGTAAAAAATACAATGTCCTTTTATGAATGTTATAAAAAGCTGATCATTTTTCAAATAGATTGTCTAACAATTGCCATTTCTTTTTGAACTGGGTGTCTTCCATATTTAATGCAAACAAGTATTTTTTTTAAACTATAGTATTTACATATCACGTTTTTAACTTCGTTGAATATTAAAGGTTTACTATTTTTAGATTTTTGGTATACATACTGTTTTACAAGCAATATAATGATATTTAAATATGTGTTTTCTTTGCCAGAAATACATAATATAACAGAAATTGGGTCTATGATAATATTTTTTCCAGTTTTTTTGTAAAATCCATTCTTCTAAACAATCCCATATTCCCTTTACAGGAAAACAGTAATAAAAAAGATGTTTCAAAGTTTCCTGCTCAAGATTACAGAGAGAGCACAGTGGATTATCTTTAATTTTAGATAAAAACAACAATTTACAAGTTCCAAGAATTCTATGTATGATCTTAATTATAATTGAACCATATGAGATTTGAATCTTTACTTATGTATTTCAAGTTTGTAAAAAATCTCTCCAGTTAAGGGTACTCCACACCATGTGACCTGTGACGTATATAGAGAAAAAATGCTTTTACTTCCGCTTTTATCAAGTTTATGCTTGAACGATTTGGCATAGCACCGTTTGTAAATAATGAACACATGGCATGATCACGGAGTGACCGATGGAAAAGGATGTGCAGGGTTTTTTTTTAAATAAAAGAACAACAGACGTCTTGGATTATGTTACATAGTAATTCATAAACAACAGGTACTGGGTATGATGAGAAACGTTTAGGTTATTTATATTTTCAGGCTAATCAACCGAGTCTGTTTTGATAGTTGAAATTTGTGCACGCTAATTTGTGCGTTTCAATAACACATTATTTCATTGTGTGTTTATAAATATTGATAAAATAGTGTGCGTTTCTAGTTTTATATTTGTCCAGTTCAGTGGCTAGTAATTACTAAATATAGTATGGTGACGTATGCGGAGACTAGCCAAAGTTTTTGAGTTCCCGACAACAGGAAAGATAACTCCAAAAAGGAACTTTGATACCAAAGATTTTGAAAATGTTTTTTCTACATCAGCGCATTTAATTTTCATTCAATTTTTTGATGTAATCTAATTCATTAAAGTTTCTTCTCTACAAAAGGGGTCCTTATTGATTTTTCTCAAGATGTATTTAAGAGAAAATGAGTTTTATGAACTTTTTATATATAAAATAAATTTCTGTAAAAATATTTTGATCGATAAAATAAAGTTTTTATGGTTATTCTGTGAGCTTAAAAATATACGAAAGGGTAAGACAAAATTTGTTGTACTAGGTATGATAACGCCTTGGGAAAAATTTCTTGAAACTTGTGAAATAATTATTTTTAAAAATCAGTATATATTACATTTTAATTCTTGGAAAGTTTTTAAAAGTTTATATGCTTGTTAAAAGTAATGCTCTATAATATGAGAACATAAGCTGTGGGTGTGTGGAGGACCCTTAAAGTCATTCTGCAAACCTAAATCTCTTGTCCATTTTGTAACACATACAGGTTGGTTATAACGCTTAGATAGAAAGAAATTGTATAATGATTTACAGCCGGAATCATCACGACAAAGGACCTGAATATGTGTAGGAATGTATATTCCAATAGCTGATGTTCTACATTGTTTAACTTCAGGCCATTTTTTTCAAAATGGAAAGTCTAAGCCCTTCATAATTAGTAAATGGGATTAAAACATCATAATTAATGGATATACAATTAAAGGATAACAAATTACCTTCGGTATCCAATAGATCAGAAACAATATGAAAACCTTTCGCATATATCTGTTTGTTAAAAAAAAATTACTTTGTACTCTAATACTACTGTTAAACCATAAAGGTTCTTTCAAGACCTGAAGAATATTTTCAGGTTCAAATAAATTAATAAATTCTTTATAGTTAGAAAGGACTTCTTTCCAAAACATGTTATTTGTTGTTTTACTAAAATATAAGGCATATTCTGATCCAAACTGTAAAAGTTTTGTAATATTACAGCCTGTAGATTCCATAAAGATCCAAGTGAACTTAAGTGCGTTAATAAATGTTGGCAAATGTGGCATTAGATCTAAAGCCACCATCATCATAATCTAAAATCATTACATTTCGAGCTATTTTATCATTTTTTTTATTCCATACAAACTTTAAAAAAAGATTTCTCAAGGTTTTTCATAGTTTCATCACATGGTTTTGGCAAAGTTAACAATAAATGTGTAATTTTTGAAAGAAAAAGAGATTTTATAACTGTAATTTTACCCAGAGGTGTTATACGTCTTTTTTCCCAGTGGCTCATTTCTTTGTTTATATCGTTAATTCTGTTCATAAAATTTATCTCTTCTATATTATCAAGACTGGCATTAAATGTTATTCCCAATATTGTAAAGTTCTCAGATGTCCACTCTAAATTATATTCATTGTACAAATTGTCATTACAATTAATTTTTGGACCAATCCATATGGCTTTTGTCTTAGATAGATTACATGTAGGCTTTAAACCCGAAAATTTAGCAAACTGGAAAAGAAGATCTAGTGCACTCTTCAAACTTTTTTCAGACCCATCTCAAAATATAACAGTATCATCTGCATATTGTAATAAGCAGACTCTTTCTTTACCAATCTTTATACCCTTTATATTTTTATTTTGTCTTGTAAGGTGACCCATTATCTCAACACAAAGATTGAACATATATGGTGAGACAGGGTCTCCTTGACGACACCCTCTACATAGGCAAAAGAGTCTGGAAAAAATACCATTCTGCAAA